TTTATGAGGGAACGCAGTCCATCAAGACGCCCTCTCTTCCCGAGCGTGTGTATGAGGGTATCCCTTTTGGCACTCATAATTCCCACCAAACGCCATTATCATAAAAGCAAAACCCGTTCGCCAAGCTCCAACGCTCATCACGCAAAAACCGAAAGCGCCCGCCCAGCCTTTGCTAGTAGTGCCTGAGACTGATCAGGTCCTCTAAGCCTTAACCACCCAACCCGCATTCACCATGAAATCAAAGATCCTCCCTCCCTTCTGCTGATCAACTCTGCAAATATCCTTAGCCTGCTTCCTCTTCAAGCTCCCGTTGCCCTTGACGGCTTCCTTGAGAATTTGCTCTTTGATCATCAGGTAAGGCTTAGGTTGAATTCTGAGCACCTCACACAGCTTGACCTCTTCCGGCGTGAGGAGGTGTAGATCGGGAGCATTATCCTGAGAGAGTGGAAGGGGCTGTATCCCGGGAATAGGTTGCGGCAGTAACTTCTGTTTCGACGGGGTAGTGTTGCCATTGGCAACAATTACACTTCCACCGTTGACCTGCCCGGGCTCCACCTTCATGCTGCTGAGTTTCTCAGCCTCAGCGATGACATGAGGCGACTGCATGCGCGCCGGCAACTCTGGTTGTACCAGCAGAGCTGCGCCACTTGGCGGATCTGGGGGTGGCGGTTGTTTGCTGCGCTGAGCACTCGCCAGTCGTTCGCGATCCATGGAACCCAGCGGTATCGATTTCTGAATGCGTGCCTGCTTCTCCTGCTCGTACTTCTCGCCGCTTCGTAGATCGCCAATCCGGAGACTTCGCCATTCCTGTAGTTGTGTAATTGCCTGTCGCAAGTTGAGCTCGTCAATCAACCCTTGACAGAACTGTTCAAAGTCGACGCGGTTCATCATCCGCGCAAAGGGCTTTGCCTTGTTCAGAAGATCGCGTTCCTCCTTCGACCTCTTCTTTTCCGATTTTGTGTTTTCCCTGTAATCGAGCAAGTTGTGCTCGAAGATAACCTTCTTCCTTTCGACACGTTGCGTCAACCGGCAGTTGTAGATCTCCATGACGGTGAGTTTGAGCTCCATCTCGGGTTCCAGCTCGCCTGTCCGTGGGTTAATTCCATCTCCGGGATCAAACTGCATGAGCTGAACAGCCTCTTCCGCTTCGTTGCAGAACTCTGTTTCGAACTCCAAACGTCCAGGCATGTATCCTTGAATCTCGTGACACGACGGAACACTGGCTGTCGGCTTCGTCTTCGCTTGCAGGGTCGGGGCGTTCTTGGCGGCTTCCCTCCTCTCCTCAATGCGTCGCTTCTTGCGCGCCTGAAATTCTTCTCTAGAGATTTCATTTGCCAGTTCCATATCGTGGGGACTGCATCGTTTCGGAAGGGGAAACTTGGGAGAGTCGACGTAGACCTGGAGGTAGTGGTCGCGTACCTCATCCTTATTTCGGTAGCCGCCAATGTGGTCCGCGATGTCGGCCCATGAACCCAAACCGTAGATCTGCGCGCCCTCCAGAAGGAGGAGCTCCTCGTCTGCGCCCCATTCTCGGTCGAATATCGGGAACGAGTTCTGTTCGATTACTCGGTATGGATGGGTTTGTGGCTGATGCGCATTGCTGGACGCTCCTTGCGCAAAGCATTGGACACAAAGATCATATTCATTGCAGGCGTTGTGGGCACACCTGATTCGAACCTGTGCAAAGTGGAAAGGTTAGCTGGCGTATTGTTGTTGGGAGCCAGAGGGCTGAGGTCCAAAGAGGTTCCCCGACCCCACAACGTCTCGTGATTCGCGCGACGCGAGGTCTGGGGCAGCGGTAGCGGCCGCATCGGAAGGGAGATATGACGTCCAAGCGCCGGGACAAAGTTGAGGCTTGTTGACTGTATGATAAAACAAACCTACCGTAGAAGTTATGTCTGCTGAACAGACGTCGCAAACATACTTAACACCTCCTTCGCCGCCTCGTGCAGCGATCTTCTTGCGGATGACGCCCATGGTGGATGTCCCCGAGGGACGGGGATTAGGATAATCCGATAATGCGCCGGGTGTGAGGAAAGAGGGTTAACGTTGGCCAAAATCCACCGCTAAAAGCCCAAAAATGGCAATGACAGCGAGCGTGGAGGGTCGCGATGCTATTGTAACGCGTATATCGATGAACTAGGCGGTTGATGGTGGAATGTCGATGACCTTATGTCGACGACCTTGATGGCGGCGATGTTGCGGTTGTACGAGGGCGTTGCGCCTGGAACCAGCAGGGCCAGGGGCTGCATTCCCATAATGCAGCACCTCAATGAGCGGACAGGTGGCTCCAGCTGGAAACCCACTTCCAAGTCATTGTGGCTCCGAAGTTGTCCCGAGGCTGCCGCTTTGACGGCACAACCCTAACCCGTAGCTACTTTCTCAGACAAAGTCCTGGGAACGGTAAGCTTGACGAACAAATGATATCAAACACTTACAGGTTGAGATTGAAAGTCGAAGTAAACAAGCTAGTCTTACAATGATCTCCAGCGGAAGTGTCAATCAGCGTTCAAACTCGCCGTCCGTCATATCTGCTGCGCTCACACAAAGCGGTACGTACCTGAGACCATGCACCCTTGGCAAGTTGGTGCACGGTTAAGCATGGAGCGAGTGCAAGCGCTCCACTGACATGGTGCGGAGGAGCCCCACACAAGCTTGTTTAGACGCGGGGTTGCTTCCATTGGTACAACATCGTGAGGGGCAACGAGGGAGTTGTTTTCTTCGAGTTGGAGAACATCATGGTGGTGATACATTTCTGTATGTCTTCCGCTCAATTTTCATCCATATCAGAACCGACAAGGCATTTGCAGTTTCCTCTCCCTCCGAAGGGCATCCTTTGCAGCAATGTTGGTGGTTGAGTCAACCGGTCAATTGACAATTCAACTGCTTACCCCATTTCTCCGCACTGAAGCTGAGCCTCAGCAGACACGGGGAAGTTGCGAGTTCGTAGGCTCATCAAAGGTTGCACAAGAACGTGTCACGGCGTCCTAAAATTCCAACTCAAAAAAGACCTGTATCAACTATCAGGCAAGCGGCCAAATGCTGCTGCCCAGCCTGTTCTTGGAAGCGGCCCCATTTCTCTGAACAAACGCTCCGTTGATATGTTTGGTACTTCAAGGCAATAAGGCCGAAGAACGCCGAACAGATCATTTTCATTCTGTCTGATACCCGGTCTTTGTACCCGTTAAAACCATTTCGGTAAGTGTGACCAGATTGCCTCGGGGATGGCATCCCCGAGCATATGACGCTTCAAAAGTGGAAAACACCAACGACCAGTTCACATCCTTGGACACCTCACTTATAAGAATATTAGTTCCCCAACCAACAACGTTTTTCTTGATCGTAACCCTTGTCTGCGCATTTCCATATAGTTATTTCCTCGACGTCTATCGAAGCAACCCAACCATGACCGACAAAGTGCTCGACGACATTTCGCATCGTCGCTACAACCCGCTCAACGGCTCTTGGCTGCTTGTATCGCCTCACAGGACAAAGAGGCCATGGCAGTGAGTCCTCAACCTTGCTACGCAAATTTCATAGAAGACGCATTCATACTGACCATCACAATTAGGGGCCAGCAAGAGGCACCGGCCCTCAACAAGCTCCCTGAATACGACCCACAGGTGAACAGTTCCCTTTCACCACTTCACACAACCTCAAACCTCAACTCACTAACACGCAAAACCAGTGCTACCTCTGCCCCGGCAACAAGCGCGCCCAAGGCGACTCCAACCCGCACTACAAAAACACATTCGCCTTCGTCAACGACTACAGCGCCGTCAAGGAGGAACAGCAAGAATACCACCCTCAGAAGGACGCCCCCGGCGACGGTGACGATGACATCGCCTCTCTCCTCCTGCAAGCGCAGCCCGCCACGGGCCGGTGCTACGTGCTCACCTTCTCCGCCAAGCACGACACCACTTTGGCCGACATGAGCGCTTCCGAGATCGTGCCCGTGATCGAGACGTGGACGCGCATCTACGCCAGCCACCTATCTCCTTCGCACCCACTCCAGGCCGCCGCCGCGCGCGCGCTCAGCGAGATCCCGCCCAACCCGGACGGCGAGGTCGAGCCCGCCAAGAAGCAACAGCTGCGGTACATGCAGATCTTCGAGAACAAGGGCGCGGCCATGGGCTGCTCGAATCCGCACCCCCACTGCCAGATCTGGACGACGAGCACGCTGCCCGAGGAGCCGGGCAAGGAGCTGGCGCAGATGACCAAGTACCACAGGGAGCACAAGGGAAGGCATCTGCTGGAGGACTACGTCAAGGTAGAGATGCAAAAGGCTGAGCGCGTGGTCTGGCAGAACGACGCGTTTTTGGTCGTCTGCCCTTGGTGGGCCGTCTGGCCGTTTGAGGTGCTCGTCATTGCGAAGAGACATGTGCGCGCGCTGGTGGAGCTTACGGGCGAGGAGAGGCTGCAGTTCGCTGAGGCGGTGCAGGAGGTTACGAGAAGATATGATAACTTGTTTGAGACGAACTTTCCTTATAGTAAGTTTACCTGCTCTCTGCACAACCGCTCCAAGGAAAGAGAGGAAAAGAGGAGCTAACGAGTGAAAAAAGGTTCGGGTATCCATCAGGCACCGCTGGGTTGCACGGAGGAAGAGGCCGAGATGAGCTGGTTCCATATGCACTTCTACCCTCCCCTTCTCCGGTCTGCTACCGTGCGCAAGTTTCTGGTCGGGTACGAGTTGATGGCTGAGCCGCAGAGGGATATCACTCCGGAGCAGGCGACTGCGCGCCTCAGAGACTGCGGTGGTGAGCTTTATCGCAAGTTGTTGCAGTAGTGGGGGTACATGATGCGCTTGCTTCTCTCTTCGACAGCAAAGGGTATTAATTAGTAGTACATTTTCCACACAGCCTATGATCCGGAGTATTATTTCGCAGTATGCCTTGTCAAGCTCATAATGTCACACACACCCTTTCCCTGCCCTCTTAGGATCTGTACGTACTGTTTCCACCCTTATTTCCCAAAGACCGGATGGTGTTCCTACCAGTTCCTTACTGGACGTAGTGACCATACTGCAACACCATCCACAGAGTACCGCCATACGCCGCCATGAAGGGGAAGATCTGGGGTCCGCTGAAACGGAGCGTCTTGTAAACAAAGAACTCGCTCGTAAAGTGCACAGCGGCAATGACATGGGTCCAGATACCGAGCTTGTACAGCGACTCGTTCTCGAGGTTGTAGCTCGCGTAGAAGCGGATGATGCCGGCCATGAAGGTGTAAGTGCCGAAGACGCGGGCCGCCAGCGGCGTGACCTGGTCCTTAGCAGCAGCCTCCTTCTTCTCCGCCTCAGATGGCGAGACGGGCTTCAGCACATCGACGCTGTCCTCCGGGCTGAACTTGCCCTTCGCGGGCGGCAGGGAGGTGTTGGGTACGAAGCGGCCGTTGTAGAGGCGGCGCGTGTAGTGGAGTGTGGTATAGTTTTGGAGGGCGTTGCCCATGGCTACGATGGAGACCTGGACGAAGGGCGTGTTAGTTACTGAAGACAACGAGGTGAAGAGTCAGGAGGGACAGCAACCATCAACTTACGAAGAAGAGGTAGTACGGGAGGAAACCCTTCTCGCCCGAAGGCAGGAAAGCCTTGATAGCGTCCATTTTGGTTCACACGGTTACGAAGCGGGTTGTCGTCGGGAAAGTAAGCTATCGTGCGTCGTGATTTCTGTATCAAAGACCCCTTTTGTTGTTGTTGATGTTTTGTTTGTTTCTCGGGCCACTCGAGAGACAGGGGTTATCGCAGCATCATGGACGCAGGTCCACAGGCATTGGACGACATTTGGAGACAACAAACAAATTCCGCCAGGCTCCCCTTTTTTCCTCAACAACGCCCTTCATTGGCCGGTGGCCAGAGCTTCCCTCAGCTCCGTCGGAGTTCAATGGCGGCGTCGAATGATGGTTCCGCAAAACGGAGACAGCCCAGGTCCTCTCGCCGGGGCCGCGGGGCGGGACGTCACGGAAACCTTAGCGGCTGACACATGCAAGCGCAGGCGAGTCGACCCCTACCCAAAAAGTTCCCAACATTTATTTGCGGCCAGACCCAACTTGCAACTCCCGAATCCAACCCAAAGGCGTTCCATCATCATCGACTTTCGCCGACAACCCATACACAATGGATAAGGTTGCTCAGATCTGGGACACTGTCCCCCAATATGGTCAATGGGCCCTTGCTGGCATTGGCGCCCTTTACGTCGCTGCTCGCGTCGGCGCTTTCCTCCAGCTCCTCCTTAACGCTTTCATCCTGAGCGGCACCAACGTACGTCCCCTTCCATCGCATACTTGATCTAGGTCGGATGATGTATTGGAGAATGCGGCTAACATAAAACGCAACAGCTCCGCAAGTATGGCAAGAAGGGCACTTGGGCTGTCGTTACCGGCGCCTCGGATGGTCTCGGCAAGGAGTTCGCCCAGCAGCTCGCCTCCAAGGGCTTCAACCTCGTTCTCGTCTCTCGCACTCAGTCTAAGCTGGATACCCTCGCCCGCGAGCTTGAGCTCAGATGGGATGGTCTCAAGACCAAGACCTTCGCCATGGACTTCTCCAAGGACGATGATTCCGACTACGAGCGTCTTGCCGAGCTCATCAAGGGCCTCGACATTGGTATCTTGATCAACAACGTTGGCCAGTCCCACAGCATCCCCGTTCCCTTCCTTCAGACCGACCGCGACGAGCTCCAGAACATTGTCACCATCAACTGCCTCGGCACACTCAAGACCACCAAGGTTGTCGCTCCCATCCTTGCCCAGCGCAAGAAGGGTCTTATCCTCACCATGGGCTCTTTCGCCGGTGTCATGCCCACTCCCTACCTCGCCACCTACAGCGGCAGCAAGGCTTTCCTCCAGCACTGGAGCAGCGCTCTCTCTGCCGAGCTCAAGGACCAGGGCGTCGATGTCCACCTTGTTGTCAGCTACCTCGTCACCACTGCTATGAGCAAGATCCGCCGCAGCAGCCTCCTCATCCCCAGCCCCAAGCCGTTCGTCCGCTCTGCTCTCGGCAAGGTTGGCCTCAACAGCTCCGAGCCCTTCCCCAACACCTACACCCCCTGGTGGAGCCACGCCGTTTTCAAGTGGGTTATTGAGAACACTGTTGGTGCCTACAGCTACATCACCCTCAGGGTGAACAAGAACATGCACATCGACATCCGCAACCGCGCTCTGCGCAAGGCTGCTCGGGAGGCAAAGAAGCAGTAAGCGCATGTCGCAGCTTCTGGCCACCATGCCGCTAACGTGAAGCTGGGAAGGAGCATTGATCTATGGCACGATGGGCTCTAGCCGAAAGGCAAGTTTTATATCTATATATATATATACCCACCTGTCAGACTGTGTACCTGTGGTAGAGAAGATGGGGAACGCTTGAGCAGACCCTGCAAGTTGGTGATTGATGACTTTGCACGGTTCTGAGCAAACGAGTTAATGTGAGTGGATATGTAGAAAATAAAATTTGAACGATGTCATAAAGTAATGTCAGTCCGCACGATACTTTAGAGCGTTTGATATTCCGAGTTGAATATCTTTTAGTGAGTAATAGTGACGGGCTCATCGATGACGTTGTCGACGATGATTGGGCGGATTCAACGTTTTAGAGGCGGTAGAAAAACATGCTGCCAGAAAGGGGTTAGCGCCTGTCCCGCTGTCAGCACACAGGCGCGTCCAAGATTCGCGTTCCAGGTTGTACCGTAGGTCCCAGTTGCCAGCCGGGAAACGCCCTGGGCACCAATGATTCCTGCCCGGTCGCGGTACGTACCGCTGTCCCAGTTCTCCAGCCAAAAATTGTTTACGGCAGCGGGCCAGCCTCTTCAATCTTCACCATCCACAGTCCACCTTTGAAAGTGATTGCCCAATCGCGCGCACAGAGCTTCCTCGCTCTCAACACCACAACAACAACGCCTTCACCCCAAGCTCTGGTCGCCGATCCTCGACCACGTCGCATTGTTCCGGACTCTATAGCTGCCCCCCGGATCCCTAGACCTTCTTTCATGGTGGTGCAATTGTCCTAGTACACCGACTGCAGCGAGCACCGCGCTCTCGACTGTGTGACCTCAAGCAACCAACCAACTTGGGAGACCTTGAGCAAGAGAGGCCAAACGGAGCAAAAGCGGCAAAACAGCACCACAGCGCGGAGAATCGCGAAGCTGCCAGAACCCCATATTTATTAGCCTCCATCTGCCTCGTTCTGGAGCTTCCCTCCCTCGACGCTCGCGCCGAACCCTGAACCGCTTTTGCAGGTGACACCAACAACCATCTATCAGAACTCGTCCTGTCGGGTGTTAGCATCACATATCTGCCATCATGAATCCAGCCACACCTATGCGCCAAGTGCCCGGCGCATTCCTCAACACCCCAGCTGCGCCCAGGACCGATGATGCTCGACGCTACTTGGACTCGCTTCCTGAAAAGAACACTGCGAGGCCGGCGCTAGGAGGGTTCGGGTCCTATAATGCTGGTGGTGCCGGTGTTGCTTCCGGACCCGTGACTGGGCCCGTCTCTGGCCCCGTTGGCGGCGCCGGTGCTGGAACTGTTGCTGCTCCTCGTCTCGTCTCGCAGGTGCCTGTCCCAACGGTGCCAGCTCAAGCTCGCACAGAGCTACCACCGGTTGCCAAGGCCGCGCGGCGCATCACCAATACCCTACTACGTGACGAGAACTACCCCGACGTTGACTCTTATGCTAGAGGTGAGCTACCTGTTCAGGCCTCTTACCCTCATGGTACCTGGTAGGACTGGCTAACCATGTCTCTTCCAAATAGCTGGCTCCTCCTCGGACTATGACATGTATAGCACCGATGACGCGCCCGGTGCCCCGTTCAAGAAGACTCACATGTATCCCATCCCCGATCAAGTGTTTGAGCGGTTAAACAGGGGAGAGGTCAACACGCAACTCGGCTTGTTTGCCGACATCAACTACGCGTGGGCTGCTATTGACAGCTCCCTCTTTCTCTGGGACTATACCCACCCAAACCCCGAACTTATCGGCTACGAGGATGCCACCACCACCATCAGCGCTGTCGCCCTAGTGCCCCCCAAACCTGGCGTGTTCGTTAGTAACATCACCCATATTCTAGTCGTTGCTACGGGCACCGAGATAGTTCTGCTGGGCGTATCCGCGACACCTACCCCTTCGGGATCCAAGACCGTCTCCCTCTACCAAACAAAAATGGCAGTACATCGCGGAAGCACCGATGTCAGCATAATCGTCGGTACCGCGAGCGGCCGTATTTTCTTTGGCGGTTATACCGATACCGATATCTACGAGCTCCTTTACCAGCAGGAGGAGCGCTGGTTCTCAAGCAGATGTGCCAAGGTCAACCACACACACCCCGGCTGGACATCAGTTGTTCCCAACCTCCCGGTGCCAATGGGCTTCTTGGGCCACCGTGATCAGGAACACCTTGTTCAGCTGGTTGTCGATGATACTCGGAAACTCCTATACTCACTCTCGGACAAGTCCACCATTCGAACATACTTCATGGAGCCGTCTGGGAAACTGACAAAGGTTATCGAAAAGAACAAGGTTTCGTGTCTTAGTGATATGACCCACATGGTTGACTTGAACAGAAACCCATTGCTTAACGAGAGAGTCAGGATCGTCTCCCTCAGCGCAATTTCGGCGCAAGAGGCCGCAAAGTCTCACCTCATGGCACTCACCAACACTGGATGCCGCTTGTTCCTTACTGCAACAAGCGCAGCGTCCTATATGCTAAACGCCTCAGCCAGCCTTGCTCCTCAGAGCATGCAGGTCCAATACATCAAGTTCCCTCCTACGAGCGAAGAGCAGCAGGTTCCCCTCCGCAACGAGACCAACACTGCAGTTGCATATGCACCTGCACCTGCAGCAGCTCAAGATCAAATGTCTGGCTTGCTTTCGGAAAGTTGCCTTGGTCAACGTTTTGCTCCGGGTTATTTCTTCGACGCGGTTCGCTCCAATGAAAGTCGCACGGACCTGCTCTTTGTATCAGCCCCCGATGTCGGCAGACTCAAGCAAAGCGCTGTACTCAGATATGTTGAGCAAGGTACTTTCATCCCCTTGGGTGACGGAAGCCGAGTTCTTGCCATCGGTCTTACTGGCAAGCCTTTTGCGGCTGCAAAACAACCGCTCGGATTCGGCAACGAGCTAGCTGTTCAGTTCGACCTTCCCCCAAGCGAATTTGCTGTGCTCACCAACACCGGCATCCATATCGTTCGCCGCAGGAGGTTTATCGACATCTTCGCCAATGCGATTCGCGTTGCATCTGGCGATGAGGATTTGGACAACAAGGTTAAGACGTTCACAACCATCTACGGCAGGGTCGAGATGGTCGCGGCTGCGTTGGCGGTAGCATGTGGTCAGGGAGGAGACTCCCGCCGTGCTGTGGATCCTCTTACTGAGGACAGGGCGCGGTCCATCTTTATCAACTATGGTGGTCAGCCAAAACTTGCGGACGCAGATGTCCTGCAGGCACCGGAGGACAACGTACAGCTCTCGGCTCGCCACGATGCGCTGGTACTTTACCTTGCGCGCCTCACCCGCACCCTGTGGAAGTCCAAGGTCATTGCGATGGCCACGGATAGCGCTTCGGGCGGGTTCACTGTTGGCTCGGCCATTCCCATTTCCAAGCTCATGACGGTACAGGAAAGTGTGCAACGACTAAGGAGATTCCTTGAGCAAAACAAGAGTCTCATCCAGGGCCTGACCGGACCCTCTGATCGGGTCTCCAGCAGACAAGAGGAGATCGCTTTGCAGCTGGAGCACCAGTCTCTTCACGCTTTGCGCCAGCTGATGGACAGCGTATCTGAGGGCATCTCCTTCGTCCTGATGCTCTTCGATGAGCGCGTAACCGACATCTTTATGCGCCTCGATGATACGTCTAAGCAGCAGCTGCAAAACCTCACGTACGAGGGTTTGTTCTCCCAAGACTCTGGAAAGGAGCTCGCCAAGGTTCTGGTTAAGGCTATTGTTAACCGCAATATTGCCAACGGAGCCAATGTCGAGACAGTCGCCGATGCACTCAGGAGAAGGTGTGGCACCTTCTGCTCCCCTGATGACGTTGTCATCTTCAAGGCGCAAGAACAACTGCAGCGGGCCAGCGAGTCGATGGGCAACCCTAACCTGATGCGCACTTTGCTTGCGGAGAGCTTGCGGTTGTTTTCCCAGGTCGCGGGAAGCCTGACCATGACCAACCTGCGCAATGCGGTCGAGCAGTACATCAATCTGAAGTACTACGCTGGCGCTATCCAGTTGTGCTTGATAGTGGCGAGAGAGAAGGACCGTGGAAACACGGCCCTTTCTTGGTTCAACGAAGGCAAGCCGGCCAACGATCCCCGTGAAAAGGCTTTCAACGACCGGACAAGTTGCTATTCCTTGATTCATGAGGTGCTTGATCGGCTGGAGGTTGCGTCGGCCTCGGAGCCTGATATTGTAGACGGTAGGCCAACCCTCGCTGCCACCAAGCGGGCGGAAGCATACAGCGTCGTTAACAGCTCGGAGGACGAGGTCTTCCACCTCGACTTGTACGATTGGTACATTGAGAAGGGTTGGACCGACCGTATGTTGGCCATCGACTCTCCTCATGTCGTAACATACCTGCAGAGACTCGCTGCGGTTGATGCTCAGCATGCCGATCTTCTTTGCCGGTTCTACACGCAACGGAGCCGCTTCTTCGAGGCTGCCCAGGTGCAGGCTGAGCTTGCCAAGTCAGATTTCCCTCTTGGCATCAAGGAACGTATCACCTTGTTGAGCAGAGCAAAGGCCAACGCCAGCGTCACCACTGTGGGTGTGAGCCGCCAGCAACAGCAGCTCCTCAACCACGAGGTAACCGAGCTTCTGGAAATCGCCCACATCCAGGACGATTTGCTTGAGAGACTAAGGGCCGATCCTCGCATAGTAGCTGAGAAGCTCCCTGATATCGAGAAGGTTCTGGATGGTCCTGTCCAGGGCCTTTCAACTGTGAGTTTCCCCCTAAGACTGTAGTACTCTGCTCATTGCTAACCTTTACTGTGCAGCTCTTCAACGATTTCGCCGATCAGGCCGGATACTATGACCTTTGCCTGCTCATCTACAACGCCGCGGACTACCAGAACCCGCACACCATCAACGAGACGTGGGAAAACCTCATCAGCCAGATCCACTTTGAAACCGAGCAGAAGCAAGAGGCGTGGCGTCTCATGGAGGCAGGCGAGCCATTGCCCGACGGTGTCGAGCCTCTTGAAGTTCCACCCCCTATGCCTTACGAGGCTGTTGTCTCCCAGATCCAGTCCATTGCCCACCGCACCTCCCTCGACAGCCTCATCTTTCCCGTCGACACTCTTCTCCCCATGGTCTGCGCCTACGCCATCAACAACCACCAGGACGCCTCGATCGGCGCCGATCCCTGCTGGCCCGTCGCTGCCTTCCTGCAGCTGGGCGTTCCTCACACCCTGATCGCCCGCGTGCTGGAGAACATGTTTGACGCCCAGGAGGCGCCCTTCGTTGGCAAGCACAGGAAGTCGGTCGTGCAGTGGATCAACCTCGTCGTCGACTCGTGGATCCGCGAGATCGAGCACCGCGGCTCGGCCTCGGGCAAGAACGGCGACGGCGCCATCACCACCTGGGTAGCTGAGCTGTTGACGAGGGCCGAGGAGGCGTTGGTGGCGATTGCTGCAGGAACCAGGGATCCGGCCCAGGCGGCGAGCCTCACGGCTATCAGGAGGGACACGAGAGACTTGAAGAGGAAGGTGGAGATCCTGTCGCAGGCTGAGGCCCAGGGCAGTTTGTTGTTCAGCACCAGGTAGGACCAGGTGAATCCAATGACTCCCAAGACGCCCATGAACAAGAAGAAGCGGACGTCGTTTAAGACTACGGTGGAGGAAATTCCGGATGAGGGTGGTGCGGCGGCGGATGATTCGATGATGGGTAGCATTCCTGGGAAGTGGAAGAGGGGCTTTACTTGATGTGGAAGCGGGGATTGGCTGTGGGATTTGAGTATCAAGCGTTTTGGGCCTTGAAAAGCACGGTGTGAAGATGGCGTGGCGAAGAGAAGGAAACTAGAATTACGAGAAAGCGATTATTGTTGATTGGCCTTGGAAGGTTCAATTTTTTGACACCATCCGCCGCGTGGCTCTCTTTCTAGCATTTTGTTGAGTAGATTGGTCCCCATATGGCTCTTGGTGTGTGGGTAGGTTGGTTGGTCGGTTGGTTTGGTTAATGTGTACTGTACATAAAGTATCTCTGGCTTTTTTTTCATGTTTACTCTAGGTTACCCCGGCCTGCTTGCGTTGGCTTCCCATTTGCGTCTTGGTACACGAAGATGGTTATCAGTGAAGTGATTGAGTTGATGACTGTTGAGGATAGAGAGAGGTACTTTGCGAAAGCTGGGTCATGTACCCACCCGCCTGTTGGTCGGTCTCCACTTTTATCCCTTTTCACTTGATGCTCCCTCTCTCGGCGTAAACACTCACACTCAAGAGAGTGGTTATGTGCTTTTGCGCCTAGAAGCATGGGAAAGTGGCAAAAGATAAAGACGCAGAAATGAAAAACAAAAAAAAGAATGCGCGGTCCGGGATTCGAACCCGGGTCTTCACCAGGAGATTTGTGTTCTGATTGCCCTCTGAAACTCGGTCTTTGACTGTGGTTCTACGGGGATTTCAACCCTGCTACTCAAATCGAGTGACGCGCTAGACCACTACGCCAACCGCGCTTTTTTTTTCTTGTTGGAAACGGGACCCGGAGAGGTACCCTATATACCCCAAGCTACCGGGCAGGAGGCAAGTGAAGGCAGCTAGCTGGCAGAGGGCACGGGGCACGGGGCAGGTTCAGACTTGGGAGGGAAGGAAGGAAGGAGGTACGTACACCTCTGCTGCCTGTGGCTACTGTAACGACAGTGACAGAAGCTTTTATGGAAAATTATAATAAACTTAGGTTACTACCTTACTTTTCTCTTCTCTCGTGATGTCTGCAGTGGCCGTAATCGTTGGCCTTCCCTCCCTCCTCGTGAACAATATTTCCGACATTAGGCAAGTACAAATGTCCCATGGCAACCTTAGGTGTTCTTTTTCTTTCCCCCTTCCTCATTCTTCCTTCCTGCTTTTCGTTCACTCTTTCCTTTACAATTCAACCCACCTTCCTCATTTTCTCTTTCACTAAATCTCAATCAATGCTCTCCACTGTCAACCATTAAATTTCTTAAACTGCTGATCTCACCAGGGCGACAAAACCTTCAACACGACCCAAACAAAAGTAACCAGCCACTTCACCTTCCCGTATCTTCCCGCCCTCCCGCACCAACCTCAACATCTCAACTTCAACTTTCCAACCCTCACTCAATCAACACCACCAATCCCAACCCCATTGACCTCACCCCCCACCCTTGCGACTACCAATCCCAGAATCAGTGCTATCAGAAATACTACAAACACTAGCTTGGTGCGGTCGGTTCTCCTTGGGTACCTGTATAGGTATGTATTTGCGAGGGTGATAGGGTGATTTTGGTGAGAGGTTCGATGAGTGGCCCGAAAGGTTCGGGGAGGGGGGTAGAGGGTCAAGATTGGCGGCAGTTGAGTATGATCTATAATAATCTTCCGGTACGTGCTCTGGTTCCGGTTTCAGAGTCGCTGATTCTGGGTCGTGTTCGTCGTGGTGGTCATGATGCCTATGCTCCATTTCCACAGACTTTCTTTCATCATCAGCTAGATCCATCCGTCGTCGTTGTTGTGAATCTCTAGAGACACTCCTACGACTGCGAGGCACTTCATCCTCATATTGCACCAAAACCTCACTACCCCGTCTCTCCTCATGCTCCTCCTCATGCTCTTCAAGCTCGTCATGTCCCAAAAGCGACATCGGTTCCCCTTTCCCCTGGTCATCTTGATCCAAGTCCTTCTCCAAGCTCAGCAGCTCCACAACAGAGACAGACACCGCTGAAGGCGATTTAGAGTGTCTCGAGTATCTCGATGACCGTCGCGATCCTTTCAGTTCATGTTGTTCTTCTTGTTGGGGGCTCAATGCCGCCCTAAACCCACCCGACCTGTAAGCGGGAGAGACCGAAGAGCGACGAGGAGAGCCAGGAGGGTGGGAAATCGAAGAGATACTAGCAAAATCCGTCACCGTTGGTGATGGTGGCATGGAAGATACCCTTGACCTTGGCCCTGATCTTGATGAGTGCCGTGAAGTAGGGCGGCCATAGCTGTTGCTACGGCTGTGGCGGCTTGGAGAGTATGGAATCGGGGAGTGATGGGGTGGGGTAGGAGACTGAGGTGGGCTGGAGCGACTGGAGAATACCCTTGACCCTGATCTTGAAGACTGTCGTGAAGTAGGGCGGCCATCAAAATGGCTGTGGCTGTGGCTGTGGATGTAGCGGCTTTGGGAGTGATGCGGTGGAGTAGGAGACCGAGGTGGGCTGGAGCGTCTGGAACGTGAGGCGGGCAGTGAGCGGTGTGAGGGGGCGCGAGAACTTGGGGGCGATGGGCTGAGAAGCTTGGAAGATGGATGAGAGTGTATGGAGGGCCTTGATGACTGGCGTGAGGCATGTGAATTCGGTTTTGGGGTGATGTTTCCAGGGGCTGGGTTGGGTGATTCCCTGATCGACAATGCTGGAGATCCACCGTGTGGTGATAGTACCTTGGAACTGCGCCCTTCGTTTGACGATGCTACCTTGGAGCCACGCCTTTCTTTTGACGACCCTTTCGACCAAGCCTTCACATAGCGAACACTCGGAGTGTGTCTCGCGGAACTCTGACGGTGAGATCCCGCTTCCGAGGCCGAGGCCAAGTGTTGTATATGCGAATCTGGTCTAGGCGACTGCACTCTCGACACATCATCCATAACCGACTCTCGTATCGATGCTTTCGAATTCCTTGACATACTCCGGTGGCTCAGATTCACCGACGTCGACTGCTCAGACCCGGCCTGGGAGGGTGCACTCCTCTCACTGGCCGTACCCGCTACAGACATAAGCCTGCTGAAATTTGCTTGCGCCTCAGAAACGTCCTGTCGTGATATTACACTGCCCTCTTCTTTAGGTGAGTGGACACTAGCGGGATTCGCATCAGGTGAGCCAGGTGCAGAACCATCTGGGCGAGGACCGCCCGAGGGAGCACTGGGTGGAGGTCCATCCCCATCCGGAGCAGGCTCATCAGGCAAAGAATCGCTTGAAGAAGAAGAGCCATCCCCAGGAGGCGGTGTACTCGTCCCTCCCGGCGAAGTAACTTCCGCTACCGGCGGTGGCTCCCTTACCCTCTGCGTCCGATCCAAAAAGCTCATCACATTAACCGGCCTAGTTCTGTAAACAGCTATATGCGGCGGCGTCCTCGGTGGTCGTGGGGGCGGCGGTGGTGGATCTGGACATGGAGGATAAGGTGGCGGATAGATGTAGTAATTCGGGGTTTGTTCCAAATGATAGTCCGTCGCGGTACTTGCATCATGATCTTCTGATGACTCCGATGATCCATTGTTGTAACCAAAGTACTCGGGGTAATAGTACCAGTAGCGGACTGAACGTCTGGACCTTGTCCTTGAATTTGAACTTGCGCTTTGCTGTTGCTGTGTGCTGCTTTTTTTGCTCGAACCACGGGTATTCCACCAGCAGAGGAAGATGATGAGCGCGGAGCTAAAGGTGGAGAAGATGACGGCGAAGACGATCCAGCCGGCTTCTGTGGAGGTTTTTTTTCTGGCTAGGAGGATCATGGTTTTGTAGGTTTGTGGGAGTAGTCAGAGATATGCAAGTTCGGCGGGATGAGAGGACGTTTCTGGCCGAGGTTGAACGTCAGGGTGATCCGACCAAGCTAGAATTGCGCGCGCATATCGATAGTCGTCTGTGATATCTGCTTGTCGTAGACAAAACCTTGGTGTAGATGCTTTGTAATGAGTTTTTCAACGGTTCTTGTATGCCACAATATGTTGACGGTTTTCTTTTCTGTCGCCTGAACATGAGCAATTGGAAATCCCCTTTACTTAGATTCGATGTCCCAGACCAGATTCGGGACATTAATGCCTCGAAAGTCAGTAGTGTCTTCCATTCCCCAAAAAGCGGCAACTCATAGAAAGATGTTAATCAAGACCAGCAAATCACCCGAGGTCACAATTGTACATGTAACACGCTTGACATGCAGTTTGCGTGTGACGTTCTATCGACACAGCTTTACAAGCTTGTTCGCGCCAAAGCCATGGTGGGGTGGTTTGTATCTCCTTGGTCATCTCCAGTCGTTGTTCTTGGTGTAGCAACTGAGGTGTTCACGAGTGGTTCTGATATGTCCACCTTGGACGGCCAGCGGGTTACAAGCCATGTTGTCCGTCACTCTTACAACACCCGTATCATACAGAAGCAAGCCTCGTTTTGCGATCCGTACAAGTGTTGAAGTCACACCTATTGGCCTTATCTTGGGACCTTTAACTGGTGGTAGCCGTGGTTCGTTTAGGTTCCTCAGGATTTACTGGAACCAGCTGCTTCCTGTTAGCCGCTTTCAGGTTCTGTCAGGGGCTTGGACATCTATACGCCTGCACATCGGATCGCGGTCGATTATTTCCCCGTTCCAAATGATGCCGCTATCCTCGTACCGAGGTTTTGCTTGATCACATTATGACCCGTATTGAGTGGACGCCCTTGATTTGACCTGGGCGCCGCGGGACTTGGTCAAGGAGAAGGAACAGCTGTGGGTGGACGTGTCAAACGTGGTCAAACCATGGAAAGTCAAAGAAGGATTGGAAGCTGTCTTAAAGTGTATCGTAGATGAGCAGTGATGAGCTTATTACGCGTAACGTAATTGCCAAGTTGCCAAGGCTGGCCAAGGCTGAAGTGGCCGAAGCACGTTATTAGCCCGTGTTAGGCAATGTTCTAGCCCCGCCATATCTCCACTAACAGATGTTGTCGCAGATGCGGTGCGCGATCTGAAACATGCCCTGAAAGCATTGAAATGGAACTGCCAACCAACTCGACGACATCTCCTTTCCAACGTTCCAACGAGCCGCCTTTCCAACCTTCAAAGACCTAACGCTTTTCTGTCTGATGGTCCACCTGATGCCAACCAAATCGGCTCGAGTCCAGAACATCAATGGATTCTAGCTCCACACTCATGGACGGAGTAAGGGAACTGGGCCGGGGCTGTCCATGTTTCCCCTGGCTAGCTGGCACTCCTGGCTCCCGACTCTCCCGTTGGCTTTTGATGGATAATGAACCATGACAGATGGAGCCAACCTCGACTACCGGAATCCACTCTTGTAGTCATTACCTACCACTTTCTCCATGTTGCAGGGCAACACCATCGACGCCATGACGGTGCTCAGCTAGATACAGATACCGAATGCCTTGGCGCAACCGTCCTGTCATCTCGACTGATTCAACTCCCTCCTCTGCTTCGTTGATAAAAAAAAACATCCTATATAATGGCCGCTCCCAACAGCCATCCCAGCACACAACCCCCCGGCGACCCTTCACATCCCGTGCCCCTGGACTCCGACCCCTTCCACGACGACGGCGGCGCCAGCGAGGCTAGCTACACCAGTGAGAACAGCGACATCGAGCTACAACATCACTCCGAATCCAACAACGTGGCCCCCCTCTTCGGTCGCCGTGGGCGCATCGCCCCCGGCAGTCAAGTTGGTCTGGATGCTGCCGAGCTCATCTACTTGGCCGGTGAACAAGTGTTGCCCGTCTATGTCACCATTCACCGGTACGAATAGGCTTGGACAGCGGAACAAGAGCCTGGCATGGCTAACAGGCAAACCACAGGATCCGCCGCTTGGTGATCGCCGCCATCGACGACCCCTATACGCTCGACCAACTGCAGACGCCTCGTATGGACAATCTGATGGTTCGGCCCCTGGTTGAAAAGCTGTATAATCCCGACAACCTCTCCGTCGTCTACTGCCTCCTCGCCAACCGCGTTCAATTTCAACGTTCCGCGACAGACGAGTCCCTCTATGTGGCTGTCAACAACTCCCGAGCCACTCTTTGCGAACTTCTGGCTACCCGTGTACTTCGACGCTTCCACCAAGACCATCCAGACCGTCCTGGACTCCTGCTTCTAGCCAATATTCTGGTCTCGGGGTTCGATCCGTTTGATGCCGCGCCCGATCCGCTTCGTCGATACCGACGCTCCCTACAATGGCCGTATCAAGACCGTGGCGGTCACGAGCGGAAGCTTACGGCACTCGAGTTGGCCATTTTGTCGGAGAGCAAATTTCTGATCGGGTCAGTCGCATGCCAGCGCATTGTTAACGCTGTCTACCGCGGCCAAGTTGTGTACACTCCGCTCTCCTTTGTCGATATCCTCCCGGACCACTACAAGTACCACCCTGTATCGCTTTACGAACCACGACGAGCTTCTATACTCAACCATCGCCGACTGATCGTGCCTCGACTACGAAATCTTCTCGAACTTGTCCACTTCACCATCCTCCTAGGCCTGTACGTGTTGACCATGACACATCGAAACGACTTCTATAGCTCAGGTGGAAGCCCATTTGGTGGTTACGAAGCTGCCTTTGTGATCTACACAACCGGCTGGGTTCTAGAACAGTTTGCCGCTCTGGTTGAACACGGTTGGGAGGTGCACGCTCAAAACCTATGGAGCTTTCTCGACCTCACTTTTACCTTCATCTTCGGGGTCTATGGCGTTGTGCGCTTTGCCGAACTGTGGTTCTATCCCGAAGCCGACTACGCCATACCTATCCTCTGCGTTGCCGCACCGGTTCTACTTACCCGCATAGCCTTCACTCTCATGCCAGACAACATCGTCTTCATCGCCCTACACGCAATGATGCGTGATTTCACCCGACTTACGTTCATCGCCATATGGTGTTTCACCGGCTTTTTGCTAGGCCTGCTCTGGCTGATGCGCACGGGCGCACCCCCAGACCCTTCCGATGTCGCCGCAGGCTTGGTAACGCCACAGTCCTCCATCGATGATCGTCCAGGCTGGGCAACCATCGGAAAATGGCTTCTGTGGATCTGGTTCGGACTCGACGGCACCGGCATCGAACGGACCGCCGACTTCCACACCATCCTCGGCCCCGCCCTGGCCGTGACGTTCGCCTTCCTCGGAAACACCCTTTTCTTGACCATCCTTGTCGCTATGCTCACCAACACCTTCTCCAAGATTATCTCCAACGCACAGGCTGAAATCTACTTTCGCCGTGCCGTCCTTACATTCCAGGGCGTCAAGAGCGACTCCATTTTTGCTTATCCGCCTCCGTTCAACCTACTCGCTTTGGCAGTTATGCTCCCACTGAAGATGGTAGTCGGCCCAGCCATGTTCCACCACATCAACGTTGCAGCTATCAAAGTCATCAACTTCCCGGTTCTCCTGATCATCGCACTGTACGAGCGTAGACGGGTGTGGGCCAAATCCGCGACGCCCAGCGCAGGTGATGGAGAGGACAGTAAGTGGTTCTTTGGTCTGAACCCGTATGCCGATATCCACGCGCTGTTCAGGACGGAGCCGCCGCAAGAGGTGCTCGACATGCTGGAGAAGATGGACGGGTTTGTGGATGAAGAACTGGAAGATATGGAAATCATGGGTCTAAGGCGGGGCAGTAGAGGTATGGGTGACGACCTGGGGAGAGTATCGACCGAACTGGAGCTCGGGAGGCCGATGGAGTTTGATGGGACTGGCAGCATTGAAGGGATGCATAGAAGAAGGAGAAAGCACTCCGCTGGGAGCGTGGTCTAGCGAAGGCTAAGATTTGAAAAGAAGTGGTTTGCATTTAGTGGGAGTGAATGTCGAGAAACATGGAGGATCCTTTGGTTATTATATCCGCGTCCAATCTCCCGACTTTTGAGTAGTTATAGATAAAACGGGTTTTGGTTTGAAGACTGGCTGGAAGAAAAAAGAAACTTTGTGTGCCAAGGGCAAAGAAATCTTGAGGGCACAGAAAATAGGGTAAAAAAAAGCCAAAAGAATTGCGCCAGCCGCGAATCGAACGCGGGGCCCATCGATGGCAACGATGGATTTTACCACTAAACCACTGGCGCTTTTGTTGTTATTGAAGATTTATGTGCAGCTCATTGTCTTATCAATGTCCATGCATGCTGCTCGCTTGTGCCTTGGAACATTGTGTTGTTCCTGTTACCGCGACGCATACCGCAGACACTCGACAAACTCGCGAACAAGAGTTGGAGCAATTCTGCTTCTTAAACCACATCATTCTGCCGGACCTGTGGGGGATAAGTTTGGTCCAGTGCCTTGAAATGCAAGCAAGTTACATTGGTGTGAGTAATGCTGTAGAGCACTAGCATTTGGGCTGGAGCGGATTCTACGCTCGCCGGCGCCGAGTAGGTGAGGACATCTTATGCGAGATACGTGGTGAACATTGTAGTAGCAACGGCGTATTGAATTCATCGCATATGCTTTGCTTATGTTTCTCTCATGCTACTTTCCCGGCTTTGACTTCAAGGCTCGAGATGTTGAGGAGTGCCCTTGGGCCAACGTTCTTCGGCTAGCAACCCCCAGCTAGCATTTCGAAGCCTGCCGGTCGAAGTATGGCTTGAATGCAAAGCGTTTCCTTTGTCGACATTTACAAGTGCGTCTCACAGGCTTTGCCCCATGCGAGTACTCGCATACATATATGCAGTGCCGCACACAAATCAAATGCTAATAAAGTAAAGCAAATCTACCCCTAGCGTAACAAATCAAATCTGTGTAAAAAATTAATCAAATTAATTCAAATTTGGGTGCAGATTTGTTTTG